GGGAAATAAAAGTGATTCTCACTGTTACAGTGCATTTCTTGCCTCATTCAATTGTAATATACGGAAGAATATTCGTGAATATGAAAGGATTATGATAAAAATAAGCAGACATAATGCTTGTAATTTATTCCATCAGACATGGCTAAAAGAGAATTTGTTGCTTACATATATATATATATATATATATATATAGATAGATAGATAGATAGATAGATAGATAGATATCTAAGTGTAAGGTAGATTACTTCCAATGTACAAATATATTTTACAAAAGTGCTGAATACAGATTACAGCTTAATAATATTTATTAACAATTATAACAAAAACATGTTATAAACCGCCATATAAACGCCATCATGTTTCAGTACTGGTCAGTTAACCACCAGTTAACGGCCTGAAGAGGCACCTATAGTGTGGAAACATGATTTTATTTATGTAACGATTTATAACATGTTTTTATTATCTTATATATATATATATATATATATATATATATATATATATATATATATATATATATATATATATATCTAAGGATTAAAATGTATATATTGTCAAGAGACCGGATATGAAATCAGCTAAAGTAACTTCAATGAAGAAATAAATAACATAAATAACATATTTCTTCTTTTCTCCTCAATAATTTTATAATTGTAAACTTAATAGCGATTAAGTTTTGATGTTGAAATTAGCAGTTTTTAATTTTAATATTAAATTTTATCATATAATTTAGTAATTATTGGTTGGAATAAATTCTTTTTTTAATACTACCTATATTTTAAACATCTGAATAGATATTATAACATGACTTCGTTGTCAAGCTTTTTGAATTTTCCTATACTTGTATTTTGATTGGTCAATCTAGCTTTTTTGTAACAACGTTTTCCCTTGTGAAGGATTGTTAATTTGAAACTTTTAAAACCATTTATTTTTTACACTCGACATCATGACTTGATAAGACACCGAGGGTGTTGAAACAAAATGGCTATTTTTGTAGTGATTTTATAACATATTTATGTTATAATTTTTTTTTTAAATATATATATATATATATATATATATATATATATATATATATCCAGAGAAAATGAGTACAATTTGAGTATAATTGCACTGACCGTATCATTTAATTTAAGAGAGGTTTCAATAAGAGTAGAGCTAAATATTTTTTTTTATCTTGTGATATTAAAAATAAAAGTTAAAAATTTCTCCTCTTGCGATGGTAAACTACTATCACAATGATTATGTATTTTTGAAGGACGAAAAGCATTACGCTGCATTTTTTCAATTTTGACTCTCTATCTATCTATCTATCTATCTATCTATCTATCTATCTATCTATCTATCTATCTCAGCCTGTTCATGTATATTTATCTCCGCCTGTTCATATCTATCTATCTATCTATCTATCTATCTATCTATCTATCTCAGCCTGTTCAATTATATTTATTTATCTCAGCCTGTTCATCTATCTATCTATCTATCTATCTATCTATCTATCTCAGCCTGTTCATGTATATTTATTTATCTCCGCCTGTTCATATCTATCTATCTATCTCAGCCTGTTCATGTATATTTATTTATCTCAGCCTGTTTATATCTATCTATCTATCTATCTATCTATCTATCTATCTATCTATTCAAAGAAGCGCTGCGATTTTAACAGTTTAGTTTTACTCGTAATCTCTCCTACACAACCTCAAAATCTGAGAATTACCTATTTCTTTTATGCACATATGAAAAACCGTTCAATTTATCTCTGCATGCGTGGCACTTGGGCTTTGTATTGTGAGAAAAGTAGTAAAAAATTGCCAAATCAGGACAAACAACATTTGAGATTTTCCACTGAATTATTTTGTCCGTGAGGATTTTGTGGTAGTGTAGAGCCGATAAATCAAAAAATATCTATAAATGTAATCCCTCAAACTAGCACAAAATCCTTACGGGCAAAATAGCAGACACACACAAACTAGATAAATACAATAGTAGGATGTCTGAAATCGATACAGAGACCACCGAAATAGCCAAAAAGTTAAATATTGCAGACAGAGTGGGAAATAGCCACACTAAGGATGCCTACATTTTATTTAAGGACCATAAACCAAACCTCACAAATATTACACAATCTAAACTAATAAATTCAACAAAAACAGAACTAGACCTTATATCACAAAATATGAATAAAAAAATAACCGTCACTTTACTAATCACAACCAGTACTAATCTTTGGAAGGAATCGTCTGACACTATAAAATGGTTCATTAACATGAAGAATAAGGATAAATCGATTTTCATTGAGTTTGATAAAACTGACTTCTATTCCTCTATGACTAGGGACCACCTGATCAATAGCATCAATTTTGCAAAGAACTATATAGAAATAACGGATGATGAAGCTAATATCATCTTAACTACATGTCACTGTTACACTGAATAATCCCACCTGGGCTAAGCGCCATAGTGACGAATTCGATGTCCCCATGGAAGCGTATGACTCAGTCTAAGTTGCAGACCTATTATGTTTTACATTTTAGGTGTGCTTAGTAAAATCGTCAAACCGAAAATAATAGGGTGTATCGGGATGACGGGCTCATCCTCATCCCTAATAGTAATGGTTCACTAACAGCGAAATTACAAAAGAAAATTATCAGGGCCTTCAAATTCCTAGGGTTTAAGATCGAGATTTCCTCTAACCATAAAATTGTTGACTACCTAGATATCACCCTTAAGCTTAATGATAAAACCTTTAAATATTACCATAAAGAGAACTAAACCCCCCAACTATATTAATATTAGTTCTAACCACCCCAATGCAATCCTAAGACAAATACCTACTACCGTTTGTGCCAGGATTAGTAAACTATCTTCCAATGAAAAAAATCTTTAATAAGAATAAAGATCTATACGAGAAGGTTCTCCAAAAAATTGGCTTTAAAATTAAGCTGTCTTACGCAACCACCATTAGTAGTACCGATTCACGAAAAGTGGAATGTAGGTGTAAAAATATGGAAAGAAAAATCACTTGGTTCAACACCCTGCTTCTGCAAACTGTCGAGTATCAACATCGGACAGTACTTCCTAAACTTATTTAATAAACACTCCAATATGTACGCATCTAAGTGTATTTGACAGCATGATTTATAAAAATCTACAACTAAATTAATTTGCATTAATCTTAAAGGGTTTAAGTTTAAATCCCCCATCTCTTGTTAATAATATTGGTCACCTGTAGACAGAAACTATTTTCTGTGAATTCCAGAAAAAACACATTCTCGGCTTGTATAAGAAACACCACATATTAGGAACTGATATTAAACTACAAACAACGAAAGGTCTTGGCCATAAATAAAGTCCAGCCCCAGACCACTTCCCCCAAGATAAGATAACTTATGCCCCACCAGTCGCTAACACAAAGCTATTCTCATTAACAAGGTGTCTACTAGGAGAGGACTGACACTGAAAATAAATTTAAAACAATGCTCCGAGAAAAACACTTAGGGGATGATGATAGCCGCGTACAGAACGGCTTGAAAATAGACTATCCTCTATGATGAGGTAATTTTGTGTTTTTTGCTGTAAAACATGCTCCGTTATAATAAATACATCAAGCTCACTGTGGAACAGTTTTAATAACATTACTAGAATCCACCCGGTTTATATACCAACGGATGGATTACCTGTAATATATATATATATATATATATATAGTAGTCGATATTACTTTTGTTAAATTTTCTTGATTACACAGCGGCCCAGTTTATAAATGACCTTCGGTTTTAGTTCCCCCACCTCATCTCTCTCCCCTACTTCTCTTTCTTTTCTTTTCCTCTCCCTCTCTCATATCTTCTGATCTTTAATATTATATCGTCTATTGTGCGTGTATGTCACCACAAAATGTATACTCTTTTCCGGTATATCTTTAATGTATTAGACATCCGAGAATATTCATATTTCTCTCACTTAAACCGTCTTTGACTCCCCTCTTTAAAACTTCTCTCTGTTAAATTTTAATCCCCCCCACCTGCATCTTTAGACCTTCCTGTCCTTCTCTTGTCTGTTACCCCTCTCTATAGCTTTCATTTACTCTAACATTCGTCCCACACTCTCATATATACATTCTCAGTAAATCTTATTTTTTATTCCCGGGGTTGTTTTTTTCTGTTTTCTTTTTTAATTTGTAGGTCTGATGAATTGGATAGTATTTACGATTCTAATGGAATAAATTTTGACCATGGAATATTAGTGTTTAAGTCTTTTTATTATTATTATTATTATTATTATATATATATATATATATATATATATATATATATATATATATATATATATACAGAGAGAGAGAGATAGAGAGAGAGAGAGAGAGAGATAAATAGATAGATGAGCCGAGTGTGTAGAACGTCTGCTTCCTGAGCATGAGACACGGGTTGGAATATCACCTTGGCCGATTTGTCAGGAAGGGAACTTCCTGATGTTATCGGAATGGATAGAGTTCGATCCCAGCGTGCGGCACCTTTGGAAAGTGCTTGCAAAGCATACCACGTGTTGACCCAAGCCGTGTGAGTGAAATTGGATAGCACAAAGTCGCAATTCATCATAAGCCTCTTGTTCAAATTGCTGATCACGCTAGATAACACACTCTCTCCCAAAAGGTCTGTAGGTAAGGTCTGCTCAGCATAGTTACAGTATAAACCACAGGTGGACCCTGTGGATTTTGAGCGTCTGCAATATGGAATAACTAGCCGTACTCGTAGACAGGTATCCCTGGCTATTTCACACACACACACACACACACGTATATATATATATATATATATATATATATATATATATATATATATATATATATATATATATATATATATATATATATTTTTGTATAAATATGATTCCTTCGCGACATAAGAGTTCTCATGTTTCAAAAACGAGAGCCGAAACCATCCAAATAATTATTAAAATTAAGTTGAATTAAGGTGTTTAATCCTGTTTCATCTTCAAGCGAAATTTTAGGAATAAGCTATCTCTCGGTTTACGTGTGTTTTTAGGCATGGTCCGTTACAGAATTCGTTATTGTGGGAGTGGCTAGACTATTTTTCTTCGTTAAGTGGTCAGAGAGAAAATTCTTATCAATAGATTCATCATCTTCTGAGAGGTTTTGCTAAGGTTGGGTAGGGTATCTATTTCAATGCTAACGTTTGCAGTCACCCTTTCGTTGGTTCCCAGTGAGGGATATTTTTATGGCACGCCTACAAGTCGTTATGTGTCGGGAGAATCGGGTTTTTCCTATTTAATGATTTGGCTAAGCTTTTAAGACTTATTTAGCTATGGCATTTTTTTATGCTAATTATTTAATGCGAAAGTTTGTTTTTACAAGTTCTTGTTTTATTTACTACTAGAAGCATGGCCCGGCGTTGCCCGTGCTTGATTCAAAAATCGTACGACTCATACAGCAATCGCTATCACTTGACTTAAAATATTTTTGCACTTCCTTGCCTTTCAAGGAGTGCCCTTTACCGTGCTGATGTTGCTACATGCCTTACTTCTTGCCTATCTCACACTGCGAATTTTTTTCTAAGCTCTATACTAAACATTAAATCTGTTACGAAAAAAGAACTAAACAAAATGAACACAAAACGATCAGCTTTAAAAAAGGACTCGTAACTGGAAAAACCGAATGAAAAAAGAATGTTAACAACAAATACTTTTTCACACCCAACCCCGTTTCCTGAAATATTGAGACTACTATGTCTCTATTCAAAACCACAAATCCAGCATTCAATATGTTTGATTTGGCAGGGACCTCAAATTTCTTGCATGGAAAGGAAAAATGGAATGGAGTTTGCGTATCACTGGCTGGGGACTTCAGTGTAGACCACATTTTTAGCTTTTTGCGAGGGTGAATAAAGGAACACATCCTCACGCCTGCCGACTCGGGAGCAAGCTACGTAAAGTTGGCCGCCTGAGAAGCACTGCTCCTCTCAGTGTACACCAATGACAGACAGCGTTTGTCCTTGGGCCTTATTAATTATCATAGCAAAACAGAGTGCGACTGGGAATTGGGATCTTTTGAAAGTGAAGGGTACGTCGGCATCTGATGGATACAAATGCATCCTTGGGATAAGCACTTGCTGCCCTTTACCGCAGCCAGTTATAATTTTGGCCTCAATTATATTTGGGTGTAGGCCTGAATAACCATCCTGGTCCCATTACAGAGTTTCGGTGGACGCAGGTTTCTAAGCAACATAACCGGGATCCCCACTTTAAGTTCCAAAATGTGAGGAGGGAGACCAGCGGGGTGGAGGCTGTTTAAGAACTCCACTGGAAAGTTCGCCATTTCAGCGGGGTCTGGATTTCTGTCAATGGATTTGTAAACGTGCAACACCCCTGGCATATTTTCCAGAAGCTGTCTATTAAGGGTTGTCACAGTGGTGTTTTGGGGGTGGCAAGAATGGCCCGCCCAGCAAGCCACTCAATATTGTTGTAGTTGGTTTGAAGATCAGGAAAAACTGATTCCATGAGTGTTGCTGGCGTTGTGAACACTGTAGACAACCCTTGGACGTTTACAAATCCATTAGTGTCCGCTGGAATAATACCTTCGCCAAGGGCTAATAATGTATTCGAAAATTCGGCGGACCCAACATCGCCAGTTAGGTGTGCACGCATGTTGGTGGTAAGGTGCAATTGTCTAACAGTGGGCCAAATTTGTGACGATTTCAAACACGCTCGAATAGCGTCGGCCCTTGTCCCCTTAGGTACAACGGGGATGGTCTGGCGAAAGTCACCGGATAGAAGGACAGTTATAACTCCCATAAGGTCATTGGTGTTTCGAATATCCTTCAGAGAGTGGTTTACAGCCTCGAGTGTAGTTTTGGGACTGACAGTGCACTCATCCCAAACGATAAGCTTAGATCGCCTGAGTACCTCCGCTAGACCTGATTGCTTGGCTATACTGCATACAGCTGTTTCTGCCTTAATCAGATCAAGCGGAAGTTTAAACGTTGAGTGCACTGTTCGGTCACCCGGTTGTAATGTGGCAGCAATGCCTGAAGATGCTACTTCTAGCGCCCCTTCGCCATGACGCCGAATTTCTGCAAGAAGCAGTTTTGATACGAATGTTTATCCCGTTCCCCCAGGCGCGTCCAGGAAGAAAAAGAAGATCCTGTATCCTGCCTGGTGGATGCAAGAACCGCATCGTAAGTTTTGGCTCATTTTTTGTGACATAGGCGTTGAGCTCCTCAACAGAGTAGGATGTCTCCCGCACAATCTCAGGTGAGAGACTGGAGGAAGTCACACGATCTGGGGTTGGAAGCCCAATAGCGGCAAGAGATCCCCCCATCATTTCAACGAACAGGTTCTCAATGATTATAAGTGCCCTGTTGTAAATTCCATCGTTGAATGTAAGAGCCATTGTTGGACACAGCAGTTGCGCTTCCCTGAGTATGTCTTCGGACAAAAAGTCCTTGTATTTGTCCCAAAGTGATTTAGGATCACTGGGTTCGCACATTTGTAAGATTGTGGTGAAGAGGTGTCGCAAAGCAAAGGGCATTTTTAAAAGAGCTCCCTCAGCCATTGTGGCATCCCACTGGCTGTCGTCTCCCAAAAGGCCGAGACGGAGGCAGGCCTCACGAAAAGTGTCATATAAAACTCCATTTACCGTCCGTAAGTTATTGTAGCTCGTTGGACCACTAACTTCGTGCAAAAGGAGTCGCAAGTAAAAAAACATTCCAGTCGCGATGGGGAACCGTGAATATCCTTCCGAGTGTAGCGTCTTTTTGACGCCTGGATAGCCCTCGACGTTGGCCCTGCCTTTCCGCCGAGCCCAGGTGTTCTTTTTTGTCCACACATAGTATGAAGGCACGTCTGGGTACAGTAGAGTCCTAGCAAACTCGTCCTGTCGACAAAGTTTAAAGAACGCTGTAAGCGTTGTGTCTTTGGTACGCGCAGCCACATTCATTGCTACATCCGCAGAAAAATAACGAAGTTCGTCGTTTTCTAGGTGCACAGCAAGCTGGACGATTGCTGGGAAGCGTTCGTGGATGGGGAAGCTGAATATGTGCCAAGGGTTCGCTGTGCTGCTAATGACGCGCCCTGCAAGGAAGTCCTGGATTTCGTCTACGGAACCTTCCTGCCTAATACCAAACATTGCAGCATCAGTCCCTTTGTTGATGTACTTGCATACATACTTGATGGAGCGAACTGAATGGCAATATTCGACATTGATGTGCGCATTGAACGATTTTACTACCAGCGGACAGTATGGCATCTGTTATCCACTTGGTGGCCCTTTACCACGGCTGTAAATCCTCCCTCAGCGGGACTCCTTCGCCGATACAGTGGATAACCATCGCTCCATGTAATGGTTTCGCTCACGAAATCTCGTGGGTACTGCCGGGTGCATTTGCCATCGCTATTGTGACAGCTGGTGTAATTGTAATGCGACCCGCAGGGACCATGAATGATGTTGGTTATCACTATTTCGTACAATTCAGGGTCAGAAGACGGATCAGGAATTTCAGCAGAAATGAGATGATCGATTTCTGTGGCCTCAATCTTGTCGCACAGCCAAATTAGTATATGTGCGTGAGGCAGGCCGCGTTTCTGCCACTCAATAGTGTGCATGCGACAGCAAACAGCCCCCTAAACCTGTCCCTTTGTCATCACATCCATTACCTTTCCCAACTTCAGATGGTAAACGCGCGCAATGAGGTCTGGACGGTCGTAGGCCGATTGCCCTCGCATAAGTTCTTTAGTAATTGCGTACCATTTGAGGTTACACGAAAGTTATGAATAGGTCTGGTCGGCCGTACTTACGAACGTATGTCATCGCGTCTTGAGTCCTCGCGTAAATGTATCGTGAACTGCCCTAGAACGTTGCAGGTAGTCAAATGCAACATCTTGCATATATTGTGGATCAGCGTCATTTCGTAAAGCATCACGGAAGTGAATGTAAGAGTCACAGCGCAACTTGGTCTGATTCAATCTAATGTAACAGAGTCTTTCTGATTCCATCTTAGCAGCCATGTCTACTATGAATTGATGGAAAAGTTACCGGCTTCGATGAAGATGATGGAATGCACCCTCATGTACCATTGTGGCACCTTGCATTATTAGAAATATTCATAGAAATATGATTTAATTTTTTCTTACTCGGTTTACTAAACAGGTTGTTGATTTTTTTTAAAACGGAAAATAATTGAGTTGAAAATAATTCACTAAGATTGTACTTGGACGATCCTAAGGGAAGAAGAAGAAAGGGAAAAAAAAGACATGATATCAAAACGGGCCGCTTGATGGAAGCCAGATATCGGTCAAAGCACCTAGCCTACTTTTGCATGGAAAGACACCTTATCAATTTGTATAAAGAGAAATTTTGGGAACAATGAAACAATCTTAATCAGAGAAAAAGTGTCTTTTGGGTTGAGGGGAGGACTGGTGGAACGGTATACAGGCTCTGACCTGTTAAAATTAGAACCCCACAATAATAAAGTGGAGACATTTTCAATGTAGATAATTAAGATTTTTGACTATCAGGAAAAACAAAGAGGTAAAAAGAGGGACAATTGCTTTTGGCTCACAGAGGGCGCCAAGAAGGCGGAAAAGATCCTTTCTGAAGTCAAGTCTAATTAGCGGCGGGCTGTTTGACAAAGTCCAGGTGAGAGAAGGCCAAGATGGTCATTTTCGTACGTGCGAAAAAAAAAAGGAAAAAATTAGATTTTGTTTTTTTTAGAACAAGAACGATATAAGCCCGCCCCTGATTGATTGCAGGAAACGCCCAATCAGGATCTCATTAGCTGAAAAACGGTCACGTGGCTGCAGAAAAGAAAAGAAAGAAATGCTCAACCAGAATCCCATTAGCCGAAAACGGTCACGTGGCTGCGGAAAAGAAAAGAAAGAAATGCTCGATCAGAATCTCATTAGTCGAAAGCGGTCACCTGACATACGAGAGACCGAGAGAGATGGATATGCGCCTCCCCACCAAAAGCACTATGAGGAAGTAGGGGTGAAAAAACAATAGCGATAATGGGGAAACAGAATTAATGCGGCTATTGGAATTATCGAGAAAACCCCTGACGCCGACAGACCCACCCCAGTTTGTTGCGGCGTCAATAAAAAGCAGGACCCCAGTCGACAGAAATCAGTTGGAGTTGGAGGAGTTGCAGCTGGACCGCGGGCAGGATAGAGCCTGAACGCGGCCATCGGCCCGATTCACTCGCCCCTTTGCGGGCGGGAGAATCCTCAGACAAGAAATCCTTCCACCCAAGTCGAAGACAAGAGAACTTCTAGCCCAAATCGAGGAAGAAGAAGATTGCTCGCAAGCCTCAGAGAAGTTGCAGCCAAATCGAAGAAGAAGAAGATTGCTCGCAAGCCTCAGAGAAGTTGCAGCCAAGTCGAAGAAGAAGAAGATTGCTCGAAAGCCGCAGAGAAGTTACAGCCAAGTCGAAGATAAGAAGAAGAGCTGCAGGCCAGACAGGCCGAAGAATTGCAGGCAGACAAGAAGCAAGAGTTGTGGCAGAGTTATGGCAGAGTTACAGAAGAGTTCAGCCCCGGACGGCAGCGAGAAGAGATCACCTCGGACGACAGAGAGTTGCGGCTGAGTCGAAGACAAGAGAACTTCCAGCCCAAGTCGAAGACAAGAGAACTTCCAGCCTAAGTCGACGAAGAAGAAGAAATACAACTCAAGTCGAAGAGAAGAATCAACTGCGAATGATCGATAGAAATTAGCCCCAGTGTCGAACCAAACCACACTCCGACATACACAATTCTAAAGAGTAGGCAATTCGAAATCTTTAGGTTGTGTGATGGAAGCTTGGTGCCATAGTCCACAGAGCGGGTCGGGAAATGAGAACAATTTTGTTTTTATGTAGCGGACATTAAGATATAAAGGGTTGTTACCCATTTTTTTTCATCAGCAATCTTTTTGTCTCGTGAGTTTATTTTCTTTTATTTGTGTTTGCCACCCCCGTCGGACTCAACTTGTATCGGCCCCAATCCCTGCTGGTCCCGTCTGTCTAAGATCTAAACACAGCGTGGGTAGACAGACCGGAGATCGGTACAGTTGCTTTAGTGACCAGGTATTGGAAGCGAGTCGGGAAAGGCGAGGCTGGTGATCATCTGACCAAGGGGTTGGAGCGGCACGCTTGGACCCAGGAGGAGCGACCAGGAGGAGCGACGTCACCGTTGGCGCCGTAACCAAAGGATTCGACCCTGGGCCAGGTGTGTAACCGTCACACCATCAATAGGTAGGCGTAGAAATCCCTGCAAGACACTGTTTTTAAGGTGGACCCATTTTGCAGAATGCCAAATTGGTACCCATCTTCTCCGTAAGGGAAGAGAAGTGGGTATTGCAGTGCATCGTTGGACCGGTGCGTTTCACTGATTCTTCGGAGCCCACTGCCGCGCGATTCGATAACAATGTCACGTCTGTTGTGCTGATCACAGCTGACAATGACGGAAACTTCGCTACTTGCGGGAGCATTGTAACGACGTTCGTGCTCTCCCAGGGGCCGTTTGTCATCATCAATTACAATAATGAAATCAGAAGAAGTGTTATTTTCGAGAGCATACTTAAAACTGCGGACATAGCTGTTTATCTCGTGGAGCATTTGTTAGAGACACATTATGATATCCCTGCGAGGATGATTGTGCTGGTCTGTCGTTCTCGGGAATAATGCCTATGCGGGCATCTCCCTGTTGATTGTAGTCAGCTATGAAGTATATTTGTAGAAAGGCCGAATCAGTGGCAGTTTCCGGCAAAAGAGACCCAATCCGGTGGTAAACCTGACCTTGAACCTTGAAGATGGGATTCCAACCGACTTCTCGGAAGGCATTACCACCAAAAGAGGTCTGGAAGGCACAATTGTACTGCTTGATTTTTGCGAGAAAATGTTTGGAGTCTGGACTGGAAACCTCCAACAGAGCTTTCAACGAAGCAGGTAGCTCTTGAAAAGGTGCAACTGTACCTTACCGTCTGAACAACACAAACCTGCAGATTCTCCAGGCCATTTTTGGCATTGCAATGCAGACAACTGACATGGGTCTTATTTGGAGGTCTTTGCGACCGGAAAACCTCAAAACTTTCTCATAGTTGAACGCCAGCTTAAACCAAAACTGCTTTGGTGGGTTACAGAGCCCTCGCTATGCATGGCGGCGCTGGTTAACAGTCTGCAACCTTTCAAGCCTTTCAGTAGGTCCTTCTACAGCTCTAGCAGCGGAAGTTGAAATTGCATCGCGTTGCCACCTTGTGTGCTTTTGCATGGAACTTTCCGACACCCTTGCAGCAGAAGCTGCAGCGGCCTCGGCTGCATGGCGTGTGATTTTCTCAGCCATGGATTCCTGGGACCGTCGAATGGACGTTGCCGCAGCTTTCGCTGAGTTATGTGCGGTTTTCTCAGCCGTGGTCTCCTGGTCGGCTGCATTGCGAGTAGCTTTTCGATGCGGGCTCTGTCGAGACCGCAAAATCGCTTATGATGACGCCGCATTGTAAGCGTTTAGGTAGTTTCCTCTTGCTTTTCAACGAATACGTGTAAACTGATTTGCAGTACAAACGGTAGTTACGCTCACCAAGCGTTTCATGTGACAAAACATACTGCCTCCGTTGAGATTGACTGGAAAACCTCAAAGAGGCCTCTAACTCGGTTGCCTCCATCTAATTTTAAAATTATTCTTCGTTGTAAAACCTGGGATAACCCATGCCATTTATGCCTACAGGAAAAACAACACATCATTAAATTTCTAAATAATGAAAAATTATTAAACCATAGGCAGGAGTTAACGGTTTTTTGCCGACATCAACAAACTTTCGCATTAAATAATTAGCATAAAAAAATCCCATAGTCTTAAAAAGCTTAGCCAAGTCATTAAATAGGAAAAATCCTTTTTGTAGTCGTCAAAAAACAAAATAATCAAGTTGAAATTCAGTGCAATACGATTTGTATATAAAACACCCACTTGAATAAACAAATAAATAAATTATAATCAGATGGACAATAATAAAAGACAATTCTCCTGACACATAACGACTTGTAGGCGCGCCTTATAAAATATCCCTCACTGGGAACCAAACTAAAGGGTGACTGCAAACATTAGCCTTGAAATAGATACCCTACCCAACCTTAGCAAAACCTCTCAGAAGATGATGAATCTATTGATAAGAATTATCTCTCTGACTACTTAACGAAGAAAAATAGTCTAGCCACTCCCACAATAACGAATTTTGTAACGGACCATGCCAAAAACACACGTAAACCGAGAGATAGCTTATTC